AGTTCTGATGGGGTCTTAATGGATCAGGAGCAAAACTAGATTCGCATTCTTCAAATATTAACTCTTTGTTTGTTAGTTTATAGTTTTGCCGTATTGGTTTACCACCAAAATTACCCTCTATATTTATAATATTTCTTTTTGGATAGTCATAGAGCAATGATCCACCTAATTCAGGCCATTTTTCATCAGTATTTGTATTATATTTATCTTCCATATTATCAAACCATTCTGTATCATTTTGGAGAAGATTTGAAAAAATATTGTCGGAGCTTTGAATAGGTAATGGTATATTATCTAATTGGATTAAATTACCTACTGGAATATGGGTTTGTATCGAAATTTGATCTGTAGCTGAATTTTGTTGTAATGGAGTCTGCGAAGCAGGACACTTTGTGTCTGTAATAGAATTTGGAATATTAAGTTTATTGCGAAGCAATGACCCTTTGGGTCTACATAGATTTTTTCGTTCTAGATGTATATAAAGTTTTGCTAATTTAGAAAAATCTTTTCCACATCTATCACATGTATATATATTGTAGAATTAAATCAAGAAGAGAAGAGAAATATCAAAGTGATGATCCTAAAGAAGAAAAGAAAAGAGGATATAATGAGAATGAAATGAAGAATCTTATAGACAAGGAAGAAGCTTTATCTAATGATTACTTAAAAAAATATCTGGAGGAATTATACCAATACAAGAAGTGAATAACAGGTCTTAGAGGAAAAATAGTGAAACAAGAAGAACCTCAAAAAAAAAGAAAAAAAAACCTCGAGTATCTTTATGAAGAATTAACAAGAAGTTATCTTTAACTTCAAGACATATTAGAGAAAAGAATTATAGATAGTGAAGAGAAAGAAGCTAACCAAACGGAAGGCAATTTGAAGATATCACAGAAAAAACTTCTAGAGAAGATTTTAGTAAATTTGAGAGAACTTCTAATTCAAGCAAGAAAAAGTAAGAAGACTAGAACAAACTGGAAGAGCAGAAAGAAAAAAGTAAAGAAAAAAACTCTATTACAGAGTAGAGAATTATTAGTAATTAATGAAGAAGATAAAGGAGAAGAAAAGAGAAGCATTGAAGAGTTAAGAGTCAAGTTACTTGCGGAAAAATATAAGGTAAAATAGAAAAAAAAAAAAAGAATATTAGTTTAAAAATAGATAGTATAGTATATTTACAAAAGAAAAATATTTTAGATAGCCAAATATAATTAGAATTAGATAGATTAGAATTAGATAGTAGCATAGCAGAAGGGTATTCAGATAAATTTGACTCAACTAAACTAGATCAAAACCTTTTCGAGGTCTACAAGGCTTCTGAGGCAACTTGGTAAAAGCCTTCTAGACAGAGACTATATAACTCTATCTAGTGTGGCAGACCACTTTTGGGCATCCATAGAGACAGCTGAGGGATGTTGGACCTAAATATTAAACTCAACATTATGTAACTAGTTTTATATAATAATCTTAATAAAGGATCACTAGCAAGGTTGCCAAAGAGAAAAAAAATATATATAACAACTTAGATATATAATAATATATATTTAAGATATTTTTAAAAAATATTTAAAAGAATATTTATAATTTAAATTTGCAGATAATTGCTTTTGAAAACTAACTTAAAGTAGTACAATATACTACTAGTAGTATAGTATGCTTCTATCCATTAATATAAAAAAAAATTTAAATAGAAGTAGCTCATATTCACAAAACCCTAATCTCTATATTAGTCAACCGATTTGTTATATATTTTATATATACAGTATTTTTTTTTTTTTTGGTTTTAAGGTGAGGCCTTGCTCATATCTTTATTAGTAATAATTTTTTAATAGTAACAAAA